TAGGTGACATATCCAATACAGATGATGTAATAAATATGCTTTCTCGACATGTTAAGGAATATTCTATCACGTAATCAGTTCTCAACCTATGATGAATAATTTGATGAACTTATCAATACCTTATGCAACTGCAACTGCAATGAAAAGAAATGAATTAGACACTTAAGAGTTAACACGTATTAAAGTTGCTAATCTCCCAAAGAATGTAATTGGTATGTAGATTACGTTTGACATGTCAAATGTAATAAATTTGACAATCCAACCTCTTCCCACTTTCTCGTGTGATATTGCCGGGAATCATTTTACTGTTTAATGTTTATTTACCAACAAAAACATTAGCTCTTAAAAATAACAGATGAAATGGTGATACTTCTTAGCCCTATACAACACACAGCACCAAAAAACCGCAGAACCTCAAACTCCCCGACTGCCAAAACCCGCAGTTATATAATCGATGAAACACACTATAAAAAAAAAAAAAAAAAAAAAAAAAAAAAAACCCCGAAAATAATTGCTGACCATCCAGAGCAATTGCAAAATGTTCTATTCAATAGTTTTCAATACCGCCATTTCAACTAACCCAATACAACTTCGATTAGTCTCAGAATTTCCATGGAATCCGTCAATTTATCCAAAAAATTCCCGACTATCACTCAATTTAAGCACCAATAATCAACTCAAAAAATTGACTAAAACAGATTAACCAGGTCACCAAGTCTACTATTAACCCGAACCTCCTCCAGATTAAGACCTCAAAAGCACAACCAGGATTAAAAAACACAAAAACCCACTAATCATATTCGTATCTACCATTCAGATGATCAACTAAGTTAATTACTATTCAAAATGCAGAGAAAACTAAAAATTAATACAAAAATTAGTGAAATTAACAGAGTGGAAAACCCTAACCTTACCAATCAGTGAAGAAATTGGAAGCTCCCTTTTTTTTGCTGCTCCTCGTCTTCTTCTTCCTTCTTCTTCTTCTTCTTCCACTGAGTTGCGATTTCAGAGAGCGGAAATTTTTGGGTGTGGGTTTCGATTTTATTGTGGGCGAGTCCTTTGACTCGGTTTTTTGGGGTTCTGATCGAGGTTAATTTCGTCTTTTTGCGTGAGTATATGAATTTATGAAGGGCGTGGACTTTATATACACTCGCGGGTGTGCGGCTGGATCGACACTCGCTTCGCTGGCAATTGGTTCGTACTGTGGGGCCAGACTGGGAAGAATACGGTTGAGTTACGAAACGGCCCCTGGGCCGATGTGGAAACGGGTTCGGACTCCGGTTATGGTAATGGGCTCGGACTCCATATATTTATGTAAAATTCCTTTTCTTCTCTTTTGATGAACATTTAAATTTCCTTTTGAATAACTTTTTTTTAAATAACTTTTTACTAATAAATACAGAAGTTTCTTGACTTTATTATGGGCTCGTTCGTTTGGAAGTGTTTTTCAGATGTTTGAAACGTTTTTGGTGAAATTGTTTTTAGAACAAATTCTTAGTAAAAGTGTAAGTAAATTCTAAAAAACATTTAAAGTACTTCATAGGTCATGCAATGACTTAGTATGTCCATTCGTTTAGGTTTTTCAATTTTATTTCCATATTTTTGTAATGAAGTAGCCCATAATTTGGCTATGTTTACTTTCCTTTGGGTGTAAAGATGAATTATTACAGATAGAGGAGACAGACGACTCTTAAGTTCCAGGAGGCAAAATGAGATAAAAAAATTTAGAGGGCAAAGTAAATCAAACTATGAGGTTTAGAGAGTAAAGTGACGACTTTTGAATTACAAAGAGCAAAGTGAGATTAAAATTGAGTTACAGAGACGTAGTTAAAAATATGCCACTTAGTATTGATGGATACTTTGCATTGGCAATTATACAAGGAATTTAGTGATTTTATACTGCCTTAGTGTTGTTACTTCAGCTCTTGGTATTCCTACATTGTTGCCATTCTTGAAAGCCGTGTGTCAAAGCAAGAAATCGTGGCAAGCACGGCACACTGGAATCAAGATTGTTCAGCAGATTGCCATTTCGATCGGGTGTGCTGTTCTTCCCCACTTGAGGTCTCTCGTGGAAATTATAGGGAATGGTCTGAGTGATGAAAATCAGGTGGTCCGGACAATTACTGCTCTCTCTCTCTCTCTCTCTCTCTCTCTTGCTGCTCTTGCTGAGGCTGCTGCCCCATGCGGTATTGAGAGCTTTGACTCAGTGTTGAAGCCTTTGATGGAAAGGTATTAGATCTCACCGCGGTAAGGTTTTGGCTGCCTTCTTGAAGGCAATTGGTTTCGTTATTCCCCTCGTGGATGCAATGTATGCTAGTTAATATACAAAAGAAGTGATGGTTGTTTTGATTCGAGAGTTCCAGTCTCCCGACGAAGAGATGAAGAAAAGTGTGCTTAAAGTGGTGAAACAGTGTGTGAGTACAGGAGTAGAGCCCGAGTATATAAGAAGTGGTATTCTGCCTGAGTTCTTCAAAAGCTTCTGGATTAGAAGGATGGCTTTGGAAAGGAGAAACTACAGGCAATTGGTGGGAAACAACTGCGGAGATAGCAAAGAAAGTGGATGCTGCTGATATAGTGGGGGAGAATTGTTCAGGATCTCAAGGACGAGAGCGAACTGTATAGGAGAATGGTTATGGAGACAATCGAGAAGGTGGTTGTGAACTCTGGTGCATCTGATATTGATGCTCGGGTGGATGAGCTTCTCATTGACGGTATCCTTTATGCTTTCCAAGAGCAGACCAGTGACAATGTTAAATGCGATGCTTAATGGATTTGGTGCAGTTGTGAATTCTCTTGGGCACCTTCCTCCGATTTGTCGTAACACTAAGTGGCGCTTGAATAACAAGGGTGCAAAGGCACAAGCTACCGATCTTATTTCGAGAACCGCTGTTGTCATGAAGCAGTACCAAGAGGAGCAACTGATGGGTCATCTTGGTGTCGTCTTGTATGAATATTCGGGAGAAGAGTACCTAGAAGTTCTTGGATCAATTCTGGGAGCGCTGAAGGAAATTGTGAACGTTCTTGGTATGACAAGGATGACACCTACTATATGACTCCAATGTTGAAATATAGGCACGAGAAAGTCCAGGAGAACTGTATTGACCTTGTTGGTCGTGTTGCTGATCGCGGTGCTGAGTTTGTTCGAGCAAGGGAGCGGATGAGGATCTGTTTTGAACTTCTTGAGATGCTTAAGGCTCATAAGAATGGTATCCAGCGTGCTACTGTCAACACTTTTGGGTACATTGCTAAAGCCATTGGCACACAAGATGTCCTTGCCACTCTACTGAACAATATCAAAGTGTAGGAGGGTTAGAACCGTGTTTGCACCACCGTGGCAATTGCGATAATAGCTGAAACCTGTTCTCCTTTTACAGTGCTTCCAGCACTAATGAACGAGTATCGTGTTCCAGAGCTTAATGTGCAGAATGGTGTTTTGAAATCCCTCACTTTCTTGTTCGAGTACATTGGTGAGATGGGGAAAGACTACATCTACGCAGTGACCCTGTTGCTGGAGGATGCCCTCATGGATGGAGATATCGTTCACGGGCAAACTGCAGCTTCTGCTGGTAAGCACATGGCTCTAGGTGTAGCAGGATTGGGATGCGAGGACGCATTCGACCACTTGCTGAACTACGTCCGGCCAAACATATTCGAGACATCCCCGCACGTTATCAATGCTGTCATGGAAGCGATTGAAGGGATGAGAGTGGCGTTAGGTGCTGCTCTCCGGGGGCTGTTCCATCCTGCTAGGAAGGTTAGAGAGGTGTACGGGAAGATTTACAACTAGCTGTATATCGGAGCTCAAGATGCTGTCGCGTCGTACCCTTTGCTCGAGGACGAGGAGCATAATGTATATACCAGGCCCGAGCTAATGATGTTTGTATGAGCAGCTGCTGCTGTAAGTTGGGACCCTTTTGGTTGCTTTAGTTTTTCCAAACCAGTATACGTTACTATGCTTATGTTCAATATTTCGTTTATGCTACAATGGGTTGAAGTTATGAATTACAACCCGAAAGTGCCAGTAACCAATTGGTTTTACAGTGGAACCTCATTTTTTGTCGTGGTATCAAAGTATGTTTACCTTTATGTTGGGCTTAACAACTCACGTGCTCTTATATCACTCAATATGCAATATATAAGGTTTGAATGACGTCATAAGTGAGGCGTTTTGTAGAAAGTTTGATACATCGAAAAATTATTAAACCTTGCATGGATTTACCTCTTATTGGTAATTTGTTGTAGGGTGAATACTCAGCTTCACCTTCTAAGTCACGGTTAATTAAGAAGCAACTCGTGAACTCACCATTCTTTCATTCGATCTCATGCACTAAAAATATGTCATAGGATGTGATATCCACTGTTATTTGAAAGCTCGTAATTTCACTATTTTGGTTTGTCATATAAACTTTCAAATTAAACCGGTTAAGTTGGTTGGTTTGATGTCAGATTGACGGTTGTTTTGACCCATTTAATTAATAGAAGTAAATTGACACATCTTAAAATATTAGCATGACTAATAACCAAATTAAAAGTCGAGAAGCCGCATCAAAACAATGTTGTAACATCAGAACAAGCGTCAAGAGAGAAAAGTTGTGAAATTTAGTAGGATGATGGAAGGAGGATAGTGGTGGAGGGAATGAGATCCATTTCAGATCTATGTTTTCAGAGTCATCGGACTAAGAGATCTAGACCGTTTAAGAGAAGGAAAAAAAGATCTGGACCGTTAAAGTTTGGATTTTTGTTATATGGGCAAGTAAGATGAGAGTAATGAGAGATCATAGGATTGAAATTCAGTGGTGCGGATCTCCAAGTCTGCAGTCTTTAAACACAGAAACACAGAGTGCATCCCAACCCGTTGTGGAGTGGTTAAGGTTTGGTGGGGTATGTGTGTAAACAACCACTAAAAAATAAAATTGGTGGGAAGTGAATATAGTAGAAGCAAAGCATTTAACTTTTCCCTCCTCCGCTCCACACGCTCCTCTGTCCTGTCCCCTGCCCCCATCTCTGAAAAAAAACAGAAGGAAATAAAACTGCTTTTACAATACAGTTTTAGATCTTGACCACCCAAACAGAATCTTAAAAACACATGTTTTCTTTCATGTTTTTTATTTTATTTTATATTTTACTGTAACAAAAAACCCTCACCTGCTAACCAGGGTCGTTAGATTGTTTAATCATTGAGGTAACTTTCCTGGGTTCACGAAATCTGAATTTTTACTATTTTCTTCCCTTTTTTTAATTAAGGTTATCGAATTACTGCTTCTTTTTCTGTTTAAATACCTTTTTTCTTGTACTTGTACTTGAGAAGAAGTTGGAGGAAGGAAGTGCTTTTAATTTTTTAAAGTTCTTTAATTTACATCAACTTTCAGTTGTTTCTTCGTTCTTTATTGGTAAGATTGGTCCTACAAATTCTTGTACTTGACTTAAGTTAAGTGCTTTCTCAGAACTCAGAAGTGCTTTTTCTCTCTCTTCAAAGGGTCAGCTGTTGTTGTTGTTCTGTTAGTGGGAAAAATGTTGATTTCAGCTGAAAAAAAAAGGGCAGATCTCGTTGCTTTCAGTTAATGTGAACGAGTCCTTCCAATCACGTCGTCTCCGATGGAATCATCTAACGGTCCAGATTCCACCGATGGGTTGCCATCCATTGACTTTTCGGATTCTCCTCCTCCTCTTCCCACCATCTGTACGGACGTCAATGTCGTCCCTGAGCACGAAAAGAATGAGCTCCAGCAGTCCATATCAAATCTTGAAGGTAAAGTTTTTGAAAATTTTCAGTTTCTAGTAAGCTCGTTTAGGACGTATTGCTTATGGAAGGGCTAAAAGCAAAAGCGCTACGAGCAGAAGCGCTTACTTGATCTAGCAAAAGCTGTAATTTTTTTCAATTGGGTTTTGTAGGAGAAATTGCACAGTTGAAGCAGAAGCAGAAGTTCTTGGATGAGAAGAGGAGAGAATCTTTGAACAAGATTATAGACATCAAAGGTAATGTTGGGTCACAATCAGATCAATCATAAATTTCTCCGAAATGTTTTTTTTTTATTTTTGGTTTCTTTGTTTTTTTTGTTTTGTTGTATCAAGTGAAGTGAGTGTTCAGGTAGTATTCGAGTGTTCTGTCGGGTCCGACCGTTCCTAGTGATCGACAGGAGAAGAATCCGGGAACCCATTTCGGCCGGATCGGAGAAGATTGCGGTTAAGACAGCCGGAACAAGAAAAGAATTTGATTTTGATAAGGTTTTTCCACAAGAAACCAGTCAAGGTTAGTGTTGGAATTAAAGGAATGCGTGTTTTACAAGTTTGATTATTTTGTTAATTGTTTCGATTCGTAGTGTTGAGAGTGTGAATCGCACATCGGGAAATTAAAGTCTTGTATGATAGTTTAAATGATGTTCGGATTTCCGAATTCTGTAGAAAATGTGTTTGCTGAGGTGGAACCAATTCTCAGATCTGCACTTGATGGCCACAATGTGTGTATTTTTGCTCACGGCCAAACCGGCACGGGCAAGACATTTACCATGGTTAGTGATCGAAACTTCGATCAAGCTTTTGTTGTTGCATTTGTGTTCGGTTGTTAGGTGGATTTTCGTTCCAAATGTGCGTAAAATGATGAAGTTAAATGGATATGCAGGATGGAACTAGTGAGGAGCCGGGGATAATTCCTCGAGCTCTCAAGGAGCTTTTCTGTCAAGCCTCCTTGGACAGCTCGTCCTCTATTTCCTTTTCGATGAGCATGTTGGAAGTTTACATGGGCAGTCTCAGAGATCTGCTGTCCCCAAAACCCACCAACAGAACATACGAAACTGTAACAAGATGGTAAGCATCGGTTTGTTTAGTGCCCTGGTGCGACAATTTCAGGCCATTTGTTAGATTGCTTACCTCAGTTTGGCTAACACTACTACAGCAATCTCAACATTCAAACAGATCCGAAGGGGACGGTGGAAATTGAGGGCCTTACAGAAGTCCAAATTGTCGATTTTGCTAAAGCTAGGTGGTGGTATAATCGGGGGAGACGAGTTAGATCAACTTCTTGGACGAATGTCAATGAGGCGTCTAGCAGGTCTCACTGGTGGGTTCCAGGTCTACTTACATTTTTTCAAATTTTTCGTTGGATTATTTTGGTCGATAATTACGTTATGTTTTTAGCTTCATATATCTAGCTTAACAAGGATAACCATATTTCGGAATGGGGATGCTCTGGAAGCTAAAAGGGAAGTGGGTAAACTGTGGATGGTTGATCTTGGAGGAAGCGAACGGTTGCTTAAAACGCGGGCAACTGGACTTACACTTGATGAGGGAAGGGCCATAAACCTTTCACTTTCCGCCTTGGGTGATGTCATTGCTGCTCTACGAAGGAAGCGAGGCCATGTGCCTTACAGGTAAGTTAGTTGGCATAAACTGTCAGCTTTAGTTGCCTTATTCCCTTTTCCCTTTTCTTTTTCCCTTGGGCCTTCTGAGCTTTTCTCTTTGCTTACTGATTGAGCAAGAATCTGATGCACTTCAACTTTTCGGTTGCAGGAACAGCAAGCTGACACAAATCCTGAAAGACTCCTTAGGTAGATCCACATTCTTCAAATTTTGTTATGGAACTGAAGTTCTTTACACATCAAAGGCTATTCGAAGTTATTTAATTTGACAGTACATAAACTTCTCACGTAATACTAATCGAGTTCTCAACAATGGTAATGACCCCATGACAAATCATTACGTTTGTGCACTCAATTGCCATCGTGAGCTGGGTTCCATGATTTACGCACCCCCTTCATCATCTGGACTTGAAAGTGCTTAACATTTGTTTTGTAATCCGATATGCTTTAGGTCACGGTTCAAAGGTTTTGATGCTTGTGCATGTCAGCCCCTGTGAAGAAGATGTTGGGGAGACGATATGCTCTTTGAGTTTCGCCAAGAGAGCTAGAGCTATAGAGTGTAACAGGGAATTAGCAGAGGTACCTCTCTCTAGTTTCTTTGTAATTTTCGGGTTTCTCAGCTGTATATTTTCTGAACATACTATTTTTTCAGGACTTGAAGAGGCACAGGGAAAAAAGGGTGAAGGAACTCGAAGAAGACATGAGAGAAGCTGAAGAAGAGTGCCGTAAAGTTAAAAATCAGATACAAAAGGTCGATTTGCTGCTACGCGAAAATATAAACCTCTTTGCAGCCACGTATGGACATTTGAAAGATGAGAAGGCCCCCATTAGTCCCAAAGAAGTTTCGAGGGAAGTTATAGAAACGCCTCGAAAGCTAGAGAAAGGAAGCAGAGGAAACAACATTTCAAATTCTTTGCCTCGGTTCATGACTTCCACTGCAGCCAGTCGACAAAGGCAAAGCTCTGCAGAAAGAGAAACTGCCGCTAAAGCAAGAAGTTTGAGATCCGTGGCCAGAAGTTCAATCCAATTTACAGCTTCACAGTCAATGAGTTACTCAGACCCTCAAATCAAAGCAATTTTACAAAACTCGAGTAGGAAATCGCGATATGCGCAGGAAGCAGCAGATACTTTACCGGCAGAGAGCCCGAAGTGCAATGGCTCGGAATCATCCAAGACACGAAGCAAGTTGGTCACTTCGTCCGATCCAAACTTGAGACCTATGCTTAGTCGTCATAGAAGAAGGATGTCTGATCTAATCTAACGGTCTGAGTGTGAATAAGATTAAGATAATGTGTTATATGTTATAGCAGGAATAAGATGAGTGTTCGTGTTTTCGGGTTGTTTTCGGATTGTTTTCAAGGTTCATGTACTTGATAGTTTGAGTTTGTTCCTGCAAGAGTTTTGCAGCTGAGTGTCGTGTGGGGTGGTTCAAAGTTTGAACTTCAAACTTCAACTGGGATCTGTTAATTATTTGTTTACACGATCCCTAGGTAGTAAAATGATCTGATTAAGGTTGATGATTTATGTTAAGTTAAATTGTTAACAGAATTTCGTAGCTTCTTTTGACAGAAAAAACGGTCATTTAGTTAAATCTCAATCGTTCACCTGTGGAACAAAAATGTGCAGATGTCAATTTTCGACCGGCTCGATTTATAGTGCTAGTAAGAACATTGTTTCACTAATGAAAGAGCGGTACAAAATTGAGGCAAAATTTGAAAATCTCGTTGATCTCAAAATAGTAGGGTCAAGGTCGCTCAATGAGACAAATAAACTTTATGCTTGAGAAAAAAAAACCCCAAATCACTGGTTAAGGCCCTTTTAGAGTGATAAAAATGTAAGAAAAATGACATTAAATCGTGATTTGAACACAGTTTATTACCTATTTAAAAAGTCTCCTTAACCCTGTTTTATTAAAATTATAATTTGTGAATTTTTGTATCCACCGTTTAGGCTTGACAAACCAGTTGTGTTTGTTGTGTTTATATCATTTTCACGATATACATTTTATTTTAACCGGTCGTGTTTCAGATGATTAACTTATAACTCAATAACAATCCGATTCTTTAATAAATTGACTCAAAACCTATTATTTTTGTTTCATTTCCTGTCGAATTAACGGCTCGTGTTACCTCTATGTAACCACGCTCCATGCGACACCGCAGGCAATGACATGTTCCTCCCAAAACGACATCCTCCCTAACGACACAGGGCTCCTCTCTTGCGCTTCGTGAAACGGCGTCGCTTAAGGCCCGTTCCCAAATCAATTTTCCGCGATCCCAATCGTTCTGCCGACCTAAAATTCAGAGTCTTGAATGTATGAAGACTTCAGCGTAAAATCGAATACACGCATCCACACCACATGGCTCTGTGGTCGTCACCGTCAAATTCGTCGGCTAAGGGGATAGTGATAACGGTGCCGGCGCTGGTTCTGACGGCGTCAGTGGCCGCGGTTTTCTTCTTCTTTCTCTTGTACTCTCTCTCGTCGCCGTGCACTTGCGGCGGCCGCGACGCCGGTGGGGCTGCTAGTGCTAGTTTTGCGAGAGTCGGCGATGTCGATGGACCGAGTGTCGGCGTGGCGGAGGGCGGAGGAGGAGGAGGAGAGACGATATGGTCGTCGAAGGAGGATGTGGAGTGGGTGAAGGATCAGATCCGAGTGAATGGGTTGCATATGCAGGATAACGTGTTGAGGAAGGGAATTAACCCTCGCACCAGAGCTCAGCAGCTTCAAGATCTCTTGGAGTCAGTATTCTCTCTCTCTCTCTCTCTCTCTCTCTCTCTCTCTCTCTCTCTCTAGAAGTACCTCTTTAATATTATGTGCACATTTGTATGATTAGAAATGGGGACTTGGATTTGCACAGTGGGATTGGGAATTGGGATTTCAATTGATTGTGAATTAGTAAACTCTATAATCTTGGATTCAAAGATGTCAACTTTAATTTTGAGTACCAGTTCATGTGATTTTTGTGCCGAGTGAGGATGTGGGGGAGATGAGATTACATCAGTAAACTTCGATTTTCATGAGATCGCAGCAATCGACTTTGATTTGTTTTAGTTATGTGGACGTGAACTCGAATTTGTTGCTTAAGTTTCTGCATTTTCTTTACAATATATCTTTTCGATGCTGAGTTTGGCAAGTACCTGTTGTGGCTCTGTTTGGTTTATGTAAAGCACTGGGTTAGGTTGGAGAGAAACGAAAAGGTTAAGCTTGATGATCGGCTAGATTTATAGAACATGGATTTAGACTAGATCATATACTTTGAAGTGATTTGTTCTATTCCTTTTGTTCCGGTAGATGCTTCTTTGTATTATATTTGTTGCTCGATGATTCTTTAACTGGAGTATTCTCTTACTTGGTTGGTTGGTTAGATGATTTCTCTTTCTCTCCGCGTGCTTTTCTCTGCCTGCAGTTTTCATATATTCAAATGTTTGCGGGTCAATTGAATCGCTGGCAAGTTATTCATTTCATGTTCTGTGAATATAGGGATGATTTTGTACAAATAGTTGACCAATAGTTTCTGAATTTTCAGGTTCAAGGGTATATCTCATTATGAAGGACCTGATTCAGAAAAGCATACTGCTCTCCCATGCCCTGGTGAGCTCCTAACTGAGGAGCACCACAGTAACTACGGTGAGCCTTGGGCAGGCGGGCGAGATGTTTTTGAGTTCCTCGCTCAGTCCTCTCATCTGAAGCCCGACTCAATTGTCCTTGAGATTGGCTGTGGTACCCTCCGAGTCGGTTTGCATTTCATTCGCTATCTTAATCCTGGACACTTCCACTGTCTTGAAAGAGATGAGCTCTCACTAATGGCTGCCTTTAGATACGAGCTTCCTTCCCAAGGTCTTCTGCACAAGCGCCCTTTGATTGTGAAAGGCGACAACATGGACTTCGGCGGATTTGGTTCAGATGTTGTTTATGACTTGATCTATGCTAGTGCTGTGTTTCTTCATATGCCTGATAAGCTTGTGTGGGTTGGATTGGAGAGATTGACAAATAAACTGAAACCCTATGACGGGCGAATCTTCGTGTCCCATAATATCAAATTCTGTTCGCGGTTGGGAGGAGACGAATGTACAAAGCGGCTTACAAATTTAGGCCTGGAGTATGTCGGAAAGCATACACACGACAGCTTGCTATTCAACCACTACGAAATCTGGTTCGAGTTTAGGAGGACGAAGGCTTAAAGTTGCAGAATTTATTCTTTTTTTCCCTGCCTTTCGTCCTAATTTAGATACGGGATGTGAGCGGCTGATCGATTGTGCAGCAGGCTGCTTTGTATTTTTGCATAGGAAATGTGTAACTTGTAAGATTTTGATAACACTTCTTTGAATTCATATAAGCCATTCATTCTTTCTGCAGCAGTTGCTTAATAAGTTGCATCATTCCAGCGCAACTTAAATTTTCTCTTGCAATTTCGTAGTCACGATAATGACTTACCTACGCCCATAGAAGAAAATATCGATAATCGTTTTTTTCATATAACGATATTTCGTGGGTATTCATTTAATTATCGCTATAATATCGATAATATCGCGAGATGAACCTAAAAATATTTGAAAATTTCTGAAAAGTCTCAAACATGCACATAAAGGGATTCGAACCCCTCCCATCTAACTCCTTCAGCGCCTTGACCACTATACCACTTATGTTTTTGTGAAAACATGCTAAAATATTTATATATATGGTTTTGTTTTGAATTCTTTTTGCAAGAAACAAATTTGCACATATTCCAAATTTTTTGTGGTATTATATTTTAAATTGTGTCAATTAATTACTTAGTCAATGGCATGTGGTTTTTAATTTTTCTATTTTTTATTTGGTCACTTACATGTATGGTTGGAAAAAATTCCCGAAAATCCCAAACCAAACTGAAAAAGTCCCAAACCAAAACCATCCCGAAGTTTGGGAATCCCATCCCGAAAAATACCGAAATTTTCGATATGGGATTGGTTTCCAAATCCCATTTGTTTGGTAATCCCGAAATCCCGAAAAATACCGAAGTATTCGGTTTCCTATTGACTTTTGGGTTTTGGTTCTTGAAAGCCATTGCCATGGTTGCTGACTACTCTTCACAATACACTTACTCTACACATAGAGATGATGAAGATAGTGAAAATTTTGAACCTCATAGGAACTCTATGTGGTACTTAGTCACTCATGTATCTTACCATGCAATGTATAAAGTGTAAAATATTGTACTAATTCATTATATATAAATGATTATGGTGTGTTTAAACTTCTTTCATTAATTACTACATATTTTCTACACTCACAATGTTTGCTAGCTCGCTATATAATCAACTTAAATCAGTTAAATCCATCATGCAATGCATTTTCTTCCAATTTTTTGTGATAAACTAATAGATAATTGACTAAATAAACATCCTACAAAGTTTCAATAAAAATTTCCAAGTTTCTTACAATTTCCGTGGTTTCCATGTAATTTTTATCGATATCGATATTATCTCGATATTTCCATCGATATTTCCGTGTTTTCAAACTACCGATATTTCCGATATTACCGATATTTTCTTTCTTACCTACGCCCACTATGCCATTGTATCCACGATATTTCAACCTAATAGGTACTTTTCGTCTAATAAGTTGCAAATTGCAAATAACTTACCTACACCCGCTGTATGCCGCCTAATAGGTACGTTTCTTCTAATGAGTTGCAAATTGCAAATAACTACCGATATCCACCATGCCATTGTAGCGATTCTTAGGCCTGGTTTGGTAATGTGATGATTCTGAAAAAAAATGGGTATAAAAAAAAGCTGGGAGTTTTTTTGTGTTTGGTAAACATTCAGCTTCAGCTTTTTTTCACAGTTTTGGGTGAAAAAAAAGTCAAAAACACAAAGCTGCAAAACCAAGCTTTGAAAAACCGATTTTTTTTCACATCTGTTTTACATAAAAGTTTACCAAATAATATAATATTGTTTTTTTTTTCAAAATCACTTTTACAAAAAAGTTTACCAAACACTCTGCTGCTTTATTTCACAGCTACTTATTCTCACAGTACAACAAAAATAGTTTTTTTTCAAAACATAACAATACCAAACCAGCCATTAACCTAGTCATGCTCGGTTGTCACGAAACTTAAACCAGGTAGGTACGTTTCTTCTAATAAGTTGCAAATTGCAAATATTTACTTTTTCGGAGGCTAACTAGAACATAGAAAGTATTAACGACGTCGTTCAAGGAAGAGGGTTTTGCATTTCCTTCAACCCGTCTCTCTGTTCCCAAAACCCCGAATCTGCAGACTAAAACCCTAAATCGTCATCAAAGAGAAATAGAGACCAAAAAGAGCCAACATTTTCGAGAATGCATCGCTCTTCGCGAATCATAAGCACCACATTCTGCAACAAAAACTCGAAGTTCCCGTCATCTTTCTTCGGCTACCGTTACGGTGACCGCAACCTCGCTCCGTCGTTTCACCGCCCGATCTCCTCCACGACGCACCTGGATAACTCATGGATGAACAAGATCAAAGGGGTCTTCACCGGCAACAAGGCCTCTCCGGAGGATGCAAAGTCCAGCTCCGATTCGT